CTGTGAGCAGCCGTCCAGAAGCCGGCGACTGATCTGCCTCGCCCGGGAAGAGTGCAATGATGGTGCCAATTGGGCCATTGAAGCAACGTCCTCCACAACTAGACTGAAGAACAAAATGACAGCAACTTTTCTGTTCCCCTTCCCCAATTCCCCAGCACTGTTCCCATCCCCCAATTCCCCAATAAAAATCTTAAAAAAAAAAAAGAAACAAAATTAACAGGATAACCTTCACTGTGTTAAATAAAATAAATACAGAAACACAGACACACACCGAAATTATAAACTGTGGTTATTTCTTGGTGGCAGAATCATGAGTGGTGCGTTTTCTTTTTTCCTTAACGCTTCTCTGATTTTGTTTTTGGTGTTATTTATTTATTTATTTAATAGAGTCAAAATGTGGGTATTTTTAGATAAGGCCAATTATGTGACAAAGCAAATCCTCAAAGAAGCAACAGAAAACATTCTGCCTATAGTGGCCCTGGGGAAGCGTTAGCTTACTCATAGTTGGGCGGAAAGCATTGAGGGACACACAGGGAGACCGGGAAAGGGAGATTATGTGTGAACAGCACTGTCAGGAAAGATATTTTTCAAGAGGCCCTAACTTGTGGAAGGGAAGGGTTTGGAAAGCAGGATGATTTTTCTCTGTAACAGCCATATAGAAGAGGCCAACAAAATTTCATGACTAGGAAGATGCCTGAGAATTATGTGTTGCATTTGGGGACATTTGTATCACGAGCTAAAATAATTTTGAAACCTTGGCCCTTTCTCCTGGCACCTCAAGGTCCCTATGCCAGATCGTGCAGGAGCAGCAAACATGTGCACGAAAGAGTGACTGAAAGTGAGAAGCTCAGGGATACAAGAATCTGCCTCGCTGAAAAGGAACAGGGCGAGAGAAACACTTAGGGGACACAAATGAACATTGTATCCTCATATAATTTGTGTCCAGCAGACTCAGTGAAGAGAGCTGCAGTCCAAGATGTCCAGATGTCTAGTCACACTCTTCTGGAAAGCTTGGCGTGATAGCTGGAGCTAAATAAACAGACCATTCTATAACTAACCTTGAGTATGTGCAAGTCAGGATGGAGAGGAAAAATGGGAGTTTACCCTTGGTGGTACTTTTCTTATAGCCCCTAAGTCAAATCATCAGATATCAATTTTATTTTGGTGTGTTTTCAATATATGTATACAAATGTCTAGGCATTGAAAAGAATTAGAAGCATATAAACCCAACTAGAAAAATGTATTTTGATTTGTTTTGTTTTTCTCCTAGGCTATAGAATTGTGGATGACATTTATTTTCCTTTCTTGTTTGTGTGTATCTACATTATTGTTTTTACATTTACATTCATTATTTATAATATGTATACTTTTGGAATAAGAATATTTGGTCTAAAAATTAGAAACATTGGATTAAAACATATTGCTTTGATGTTATGTACTTTTAATAAGATTGCTATGAGAATTAAGAGCTAGGCAGCTTCTGGAAACATAATTCCAATGCTTTTCTCTTAACCTCATCAAGTGCATTTATTTCTGCCATGGGTCTATTTATTCTAATGAAATGTCTTCCTTAGGAGAGCTGTAATTATTCTCAAAACAACCATCAAAGAAAATTAAGGGGAAATTATACAACTCTATGTTGTAAAGAAAAAAATAAGAGAAATTGAGTAGGCTCGAACCCCCTTTAACCCCCGTCCCCTAACACACACACACACACACACACACACACACACACACACACACACATATACAGGACAGAAAAGCATAAGGAAGAAAAAAAAAGTATCATTCACAGCTCTGCCACCAAGAAATAACCACTGTTTCCAATTTGTGTGTGTTTGTATGTGTACTGTAACATACTTAAGGTTATCCTATACATGAAATTATATTTCCTCTTCACTTAACAGGTCATGAGATTTCCCCAGGCATTAAAATCACTTTAAAAACATAGAAAGTGACTTTCACCCTCCATCCATCACTTCTGAAACGAGAAAGTTCTCCCCCCGCTCATCATACCACACACCACACAGATCAGTACCTTTTCTGGAAGCTCTCTAACCAGGAGAAAGTCATCGAATGAAACACATGGCTGTAAACTTTTCCCAACACAAATTGCAGGGAAACAGGTGCTGTGGGACTCTAGGGTCACCAGGTCATGCAGGGGCTCCTGGGAACCCAGCGGGGTAAAAAGGAGTGATGGTGCCAAGTTTGAGTCAAGTACAAGGAAATGCTGGGATTGGAAACACTGCCCTTAAGACAAGCCCCTGTGTTATTGGTTTAGGCTCCTCCTAAAAGTGATGTAAGCTCCAGACATACAAAGGCTCTGTGGGACCCAGCTAGAGCTGGAGGACACAAGGGCCAACAGGTGCCCCACCAAGGGGCACCTGAAG